TGGAATTCACACTTGGTGGTACATCAGCGGACTCACACAGGAGTGAAACCATATGTTTGTCCAGAATGTGGGAAAGGTTTCCGTCAGAATTCCCATCTGGTGTTACACCAGAAGATTCACACAGGCGAGAAACCATACAAGTGTCCAGATTGTGAGAAAAGTTTCATTCGGAATACTGACCTGGTGAAACACCAGAGGACTCACACGGGAGAGAAACCATATGAGTGCCAGATTTGTGGGAAAAGTTTCCGTCGGAATTCTCACTTGCTAATACACCAGAAGATTCACACAGGAGAGAAACCATATAAGTGTCTGGAGTGTGGGAAAGGTTTCAGTCAGAATTCCTCCCTGGTGATACATCAGAGAACTCACTCAGGAGAGAAACCTTATGCGTGTCTAGACTGTGGAAAATGTTTTAGTCAGAATTCCAGTCTGGTGAGACACCAGAGGAGTCACACAGCAGACAAAGTATATGAATGCCCAGATTGTGGAGAAGGTTTCTGTCTGAATTCCCACCTGGTGATACATCAGAGGACTCACACAGGAGAGAAACCATATGAGTGCCCAGTTTGTGGAAAAAATTTCAATTGGAATTCACACTTGGTGGTACATCAGCGGACTCACACAGGAGTGAAGCCATATGTGTGTCCAGATTGTGGGAAAAGTTTTAATTGGAATTCGCACTTGGTGGTACACCAGCGGACTCACACAGGAGAGAAACCATATGAGTGTCCAGATTGTGAGAAAAGTTTCATTCGGAATTCTGACCTGGTGAGACACCATGCAGCACACACAGGAGAGAAACCATATGAGTGCCTGATTTGTGGGAAAAGTTGCCATCAGAATTCTTTCCTGCTAATACACCAGAAGATTCACATGGGAGAGAAACCATATAAGTGTCTGGAGTGCGGGAAAGATTTCCGTCAGAATTACTCCCTGGTGATACATCAGAGAACTCACTCGGGAGAGAAACCTTATGCGTGTTTAGACTGTGGAAAATGTTTTAGTCAGAATTCCAGCCTGGTGAGACACCAGAGGAGTCACACAGCAGACAAAGTATATGAATGCGCAAATTGTGGAGAAAGTTTCTGTCTGAATTCCCACCTGGTGATACACCAGAAGATTCACATAGGGAAGAAACTGTATGAGTGCCCAGATTGTTGGAAATGTTTCCTTTGGAATTCTGAGCTGGTGATACACCAGAGAACTCACACAGGAGAAAAACCTTATGAGTGTCCAGACTGTGGGAAAGATTTTAGTACTAGGTCTAACCTTATAAATCATGTGCGTATACACACAGGAGAGAAACCATTTAAGTGCCCCGACTGTGGACAGTGCTTCAGGAGACAGTCCACCCTTATCACACACAAGAAAATCCACATGAGGCCCAAAGTGGGAAAGATTTTAGTACTAGGTCTAACTGTTAAGTTTGAGGAATGAGAGGCTGAACCAGAGCATGAGTGCAACAATACTTTATTTCATAAATAAAGGGCTGACCGTGCTCGCCACGCAGGGACTGGCTCGCAGCAATCAGCGAAGGGTTGGACCCCGCAGCCTGCTTTTATAGCAGGCTGCAGGGGAGGGTCAACCAATGGGAGGAGGGAAGAAAACGCCCACGCCTAGAGCGTGGACCAGAGGGAGAACTACCAAGTCCTCAGGACATAACACCCCTTCCCCCCAGATGCGAACACGCATAGTCCTTGAGGTAGATTGGGGGTTTGTCTTGGCGCCCGGAACGGCGCAGCGCTGGAACAACGTCCGTCCGTTCGGGGCTTGTCTGCGACGGCAGGACCGACTGAGAGTCTCCATGGCGCCCCCTGGGTTGTGCGTCCCCTGGACTCGAAGGAACGGACGCTGGGGCCGCACTCTCGCTGACTGGGTCGGGTTGGTCAACCGTCTGGGTCCCGCTGTCCAAGTTCGGGCTGTCTGGAACGGCTGCGGGAGTAGACCGGTCACTGGGTGCGATGTATACGTGGGGCTGCTGGTGAGTCTCACCCTCGTCTCGTGCCATCAGGTCTCGGCTGGTAGTGGTGCTGAGGCGACTACGCAGCTGGTCTATGTGCCTCTTCCAGACTCGGCCATCTTCCAGCCTGACCCGGTACGATCTCGGTCCTGTGATGGCCATGATCTCACCCGGAACCCACAGGGGGTCACCCGCGAAGTTCCTCGTGTATACCGGCTCCTGCAAGGCAAAACATCTAACCCCTGATGAGGATGCGAGGGGAGAGTCAGAACAGTATTGGGGGTGCAGCCTGTCCAGGACCGTCCTCAGGCGCCGGCCCATCAGGAGTTCTGCTGGGGACTTATTGGTGACGGCACACGGTGTTGAGTGCTGGCTCATCAGGAACCGCGAGTTTGTGGTGCCAGTCCCCCTTGTTAAATCTAGCCAGGGCTTCCTTTGCTGTCCTGACAGCCCTCTCGGCCAACCCATTACTGGCAGGGTGAAATGGGGCTGTGAGAATATGGCGGATGCCCAGGTTGGCTGCGAAACGGCTGAATTCAATTGACGCGAACTGCGGTCCGTTGTCGGATACTATGGCGTCTGGTAAGCCGTGTGTGACAAATAGGCGAGTTAATACATTGGTGATTGCCAGTGTGGTGGTCGTGGACAGCTGCGCTACGTCTATCCATTTGGAATACGCATCTACGACCACTAGGAACATCTTTCCATGCAAGGCGCCGGCTAAATCGATGTGTATCCGGGACCACGGGGCACTCGCGTTTTCCCATCTAGTTG